CCCTTATCATTACTATTTTTTGAGGTTGGGTCTCTTTTTTAAGTTTCTTGTGGCCTTGCTAAGGAGTACTAGGGGACATGGGGGTGGCCCCAAAGAATCATGTCCCATCCCTGTTCTCTGCAAAAAGAGGCCCCGTGTACTTGGCCCATTCTTACATTCACTGAGTTCTGCTTTGGGGGATTGGACAGAGGTTAGGACCTTGTTTTGATGCCCGTGCTCCAGATTGGTGGAGCATACAGGGCGCAGGCTGGGCTGGGGGTCAAGGTTTGGGCTGTGGGTGAACTGAGTGTTAAGAGACCTTGCCATTGCTTGCAAGAAAAAAGAAAAAGACAAAGTGAGATGTTTGGTATGAACTGAAAATGTCCCACTTAAAGTGTTAGCACAAAGATCTGGGCCTGGCGCAGACTTCACAGATCATTTCAGCCTTTTATTCAGAAACATGATTGCATCTCCCATATACCCACTTTCCTGGTGGAAAATGAGCCACTGGTCAAAGGAGGAGTTTGGGCTTATATAGGTTATACTGAGAGGTGATATTGTGACTGTGTCAGTTTGGGAAGACGGGAATTTGGGTTTGGGGCTTGGAGGTCGGTGGCCAGCACTTGGAGAGGATTTATGTTGGAAGAGATGAGTATTTCTCAGAGACTACCTTTCTAGGTTTGATGAAACACTTTCTCCCCACCAGTAGCCAGCATCTGAAGAGGATTTGTCTGTCTTGAAAGAGATGAAAGCTAGCAATGTATGGCTGTTTTTTTAACCCTTTCCCTGGCCACTCTATCTTGACGTTTTTCATTTTCCATATCTAGCATAAAGCATATCCAAATGATCCATATCTGGATGGGATGGAGTGCACATCTGGAATCCCAGTTACTTGGGAGGCTCAGATTGGAGGATGGCAAGTTCAAAGCCACCCTGGGCAAGTTAGGCTCGCTCTCAAATTTTAAAAATAAAATGCAAAGGGCCAGAGGTGTTGCTCAGGGATAGAGTGCCTCTGAGTTCATTAAGCATACTTCCAAGAAAATTATCCTGATCTGCTGTGTGGTCAGCTCTGCAGCACATGGGTGCAGATGGTGGGTGTGAGCCCCTCTCAGTCATCTTCAAGGAATCCTTGGGCTCAGAGTCTTGGTCTCACTGAGCATGCTCAGGTCTGCAGAGGATGGGGATTCAGACTGTGCTTTCACTTCTGGGACAGGTTTACAGGCCTGTGATTTCTGACTTTGGCATCTGGGTTTGAGGGAGCTGAGGGACTCAGTAGAAGAAGGAGGGCCTGTTGGCAGTCAGGGTTAGAAATGAGGGAGGACTGAGTGGCCCAGGACACAGAATGGCTGGCACCCAGCCCTACCCCTGCTTTCAGACTGAGCCCGTCCTTCATTCTGACTCTGGAATCTGAGGGAGGAGGACTCAGTTCAGGAGAGGAGTGGGCTGCTGCCAGGAGTCAAGGGGAGGACTCGGGGAGGAAGGAGGGGGCCTTGTACTCCAGATCAAAGGGGGACCGCCACCCTGACATCAACCCTGGGAGGCCTGGGCACGGTGGCCAGAGGCAGTGCACCTCCCTTCTGCCTGACACACCTTCAGGGTGTCAGGGATGAGTGAGCATGATTGAAGTGTGTGTTCCCGGGTCAGCAGAGGGAGGAATCTCAGGGACTTCTGGAAAGACGAAATAAGAGCCCAGATTAAAGACATGGGAATGTTCACTGGAAGCCCAGGATAACTCCATGCAGGGCTGTTGGGAATGGTTGTACCCACCCCCCACTTCCTTCTCTGGGCCTTCAGGGAGATGGTGGCCTTGGCCTGCAAGATGCACCTACAGGTCAGCAGAGGGGAAAGGGCCCAGACCCTGTCAGGAGTGAATATGAGTACCTTGAGGACACTCCAGACAAAGGAGGCCCCTGGAACCTGCTGGTCTGTTAACCTGGGGAAACCCCATGCAGCCGTGTCCAAATGTGCTGTCCTCACTTCTGTCTCCTCCAAATCAGGGAGGTGAGGCCCTGGTGTGAGAGAGTTCATCAGGAGGGCAGAGGAGCCACAGCTGGTCAGCAGAGGGAGGATTCCAGCATCTGCCGGGAATCAAGGTGAGGAACTTTGGTGACAGGGACTGAATGCCATACCT